TGCAGGTAAAATTCAGAGTGGACAAAATGAAGGACTTTCAGAAAGCCTGTTCCATCCAGACATTTGTTACTTGACACTTCTCTAGAACCAATGGCTCCTGGCTGGGTGGTAGAATTATGATGCCATAAAAACAACCAACTGGCCATTAAATTTGCTTTCTTTTGTCTCAACAGGATTATGACGTCAGGTAAAAAGCAGCCAATCATCTCCTCCCTCCCTCTCTTTCTTTCTCTCTGTTTTTTTTCTCTCTCCCTTTCTTTCTCCCTCTCTTTCTTTTTCCTCTTTTCTTTTCTTTCTTTTTCTTTCTTTCACTTTTTATTAACAAGTCAGCTCAGCAGACTTTTACAGAGGGCCTAGAATGTGTCTGTTAATGTGCTGAGGAAAAGCTAAACAAGCCTCTGTCCCATTTCTTCAAGAAGCTCACAAACTTAATGGTTGAACATCCGACTTCAGCTCAGGTCGTGATCTCGCGGCCCATGGGTTCGAGCCCTGCATCCGGCTCTGTGCATCAGCCAGCTCAGAGCCTGGAGTCTGCTTCAGATTCTGTGTCTCTCTCTCTCTCTCTGCCCCTGCCCCACTCATGCTCTCTCTCTCTCTCTGTCTCTCAAAAAAAAAAAAAAGGAAGAAAAGAAAAGCTCACAAGCTTATCCAGGAGGCAGACAAGCAAGTTTAGAACAGTGTGATAATTGCAACAATATTAACATGTCCACAAGTAAAAGAAAGAAAGCATGAAGAAGAGCTGGGTGAGCTCTGAGAGACTGGGGGTGGTGGTGGGGAGTTTGGAAGAATTTGTCAGTTTCAATTGGGTTTAAATTTGTTAAAAGTGCAACTATAGAGAACCCCCTTGTCTATTTCCTGGAGGTTAGGTATATTAGTTATTCCAGCAAGCCTGCAGAATAAACTGTACTCAAGAAAAATGCTCCACTTTTGGTGACTGACTAAATGCTCTCTGAATCAAGGCCTGACCCAAACTGAACTTGTGAACCAAAAATTGGAATAAAGGGTGATATTTGCTCAGTCTGAACCTAACCAGTATGTTAAAAGAAACAAACAGAACAACCAGCGCTAAAGGATGTCAGAACTGCAACAGATCTTAAAGCTGATCTAGTCCACGTTTTTCAGTATGTAGATGGGGAAAAAATGGGGCTCAGAGTGATATAAAGTCAATGGGGTGCCTGGGTGGCTCAGTCGGTTAAGCGTCTGACTTCGGCTCAGGTCATGACCTTGCAGTTGGTGGGTTCGAGTCCTGTGTCGGGCTCTGTGCTGACAGCTCGGAGCCTGGAGCCTGCTTCGGATTCTGTGTCTCTGTCTCTGCCCCTCCCCTTGTCATGCTCTGTCTCTGTCTCAAAAATAAATAAAAACATTAAAAAAAAAAAGACTTATGTAAAGTCACAAGAAACCTGACCACTTGGCAGAGGGTGACATAAAGCAAGAATGTCCATTATGATCCAAGTTTATTGTTCTTTCAACTTCTTCAAAGTACCGGATAGTGTACGACAAAAGAAAAACTTGAGTTTCCTTTTTCTTTCCAAATAATCGCCTAGTTGATAATATCCTAAAATAATCAAATTGAGACACAATTAGAGCATCAAAGTATCGTGTAAATAGAGCTTTGACTAATCTGATAGTTCTTCCATATGTATAAAAAAGTAGATTTTAAAAATAGAATTTCAACCTAATTGTCTGCATAGTTGTAATCTGAAGCATATGGAGTCTTCTTTCATTAGCAACACAGACTGTTTGCACTCCAGGCTCTAGTTCTTAGATTGCTAGCCAGCACCCATCAAAAGCTCTCTGGAGAGGATCATTATTAAGGGCACTTATGAGGATGTCCACTTGTTCTTATTCTGCTATGGAAGTTCCAAGTTTGTATCAAGTAACATCACCGGAGAGCTAAGAAATGGGATGTCAATTGCTCGGCCCTCTCTTTGATGACAGGTGTTCTAGCATTACCCCCTTGGCATTGATCAAAGAAAGGTGACTGCAAGAAACAATCATATCAAGACTGCTTCTGTATTTTCTAGAAAAAGTGGGGGAGGTATCAGAGACACCATCATCTGTATTGCTCTAGGCTCTTTGGAAAAGCATAAGCATTATTGTGGAATCGGTACCAGGCACAGGTGCTTCCATTCAAAGAAGTGGTATGTGTGTGTACTTTTAAACTCAAATAATAATAATCATAAAAGTCATTTTCCTTTCCGTGTTGGCTTCCACGAGGTACAGATTAAATGTTAAATGAAGCTCGATCTTAGTACACAGGTTTACATTGGGGGCATGTTTGCTTTTTCCACTAAAAAAATATTTCTATAAGTCTTTTACTGTAAGTTATCTCAGGTCCTCTTTTAGATGTAGTGGGGAGTAAATAATGTCTAAATACATAACACATTTCCTCTGTTTTGGGTCATTGATGACTATGCAGCTTTGTTATCGATAAACATGAAGTTCCTACTACACATAAGCACATGCTCCAGAGTTCTGGGGAAACCAAGAGGTACACGAAATGACTGCAGGCCTTAAGGGTCTTGAATCAACCTGTAGGGCTAGAGCATATGGAGAGATAAATAATATCAGGTAGCAAATTCTAAACAGATTTCAAAGATCCATTCTATCTGAACACCCTGTAAGACTACTAAATTAGTCATTTGGATATTTGGTCAAAAAGCATTCTGTTTCGAATCAGCTTAAATATTGATATTTTGGCTAACGTTTTTCTGAAGGTGGCAAAATTCTCGGGTAACTTTGCTTCTGAATGAGTTTTCACAGAAGTAATTAGTGTTAATGGTAGAAGTTCAGAAAGCCAGAAAAGTACAAAGGAGCAAATTAAAATAATCTACAATAATGCTTTGGGTGCTTATTGTATAATATAACACATATATAATATATATAATTCCGTGTCCTGCTTTTTTCACTTTATATAGTGAGAATTCCCGGGTACTAGATGTTCTTCATTAACAAGATTTCTTTTTCTTTTTAATGTTTATTTTGAGAGACAGAGAGCACAAGCAGGTGAGGGGCAGAGAGAGAATCCCAAATAGGCTTCATGCTGTCAGTGCAGAGCCCAATGCAGGGCTTGAACTCATGAAACATGAGGTCACGGCTTGAGCTGAAACCAAAAGTCCCAGGCCTAACTGTTGGAGCCCCCAGGCACCCCTCTTCAGTAATAAGATTTCTATTGTGCAACGTTTCATTGAAGGATTTGCCCAACAATTACCCTATTGTTTCCAACCTAGTTTTCTTTATTAAATATAATACTGTGATCTACATTGTAGTAATAATGATCACGCTTTTATGAAGCACTTACTATTGTATATGCCAAACCCTATTAAACACTTCATACAAATCATTTTGGTCTCTTAATAATCCTGTGGATTAAGAACTATTATCCCTTGTTTGTAGGTAATGTAACCAAGGAGTAGCAGTTAAAGAGCCCACAGCAAGGAAGAGAATTTAACCCCTAATCTGACATAAGTAAATATTCCAAATTGTTTTTTATGAATAAGTAAATAGGACTGTTCAAAGATTCCCACTGCCTACTGAAACATGCAGTTATTGGCTCCAAATTAAGAATTTGTGGGATTTTTCTCCATTCTCTTCCTCCTTTTTATTTTTTTAAAGGAAGAAAGTTCCTAATGAATATTTAGTGGGTTTGTTTTTCTTTTACTTTAGTAATTAATAATCTACTATGATAAAGTATGTTACGTACCCTTAGAGCCCTTATTTTTTCTTTTGTTTTTACTGAGAAATAAAGGACATATAACATTCTACTAGTTTCGGGGGCACAACATAATGATTCAATATTTGCATGTATTGTGAAATGACCCACACAATAAGTCTAGTTAAAATCCATCGTTATGCGTAGTCACAAGTTTTTCCTTGTGATGAGAACTTTTACAGTTCTGATTTTGTTGGCTACAGAAAATAATAGGAACACAGGCTCCGGAAACGAGCCTCTCAATTTTATTTATTTATTTATTTATTTATTTATTTATTTATTTATTTATTTTACGAGGCTTTCATTTTTATTGGAGGACAGTAAAACTACTGTAACTAAGAGACATAAGAAAAAAAGAGGTGGTAAAATTCTGAGTATTACTGTCCTGGGACATGAGCGATGTTCATGTATTTTCAAGTACCTACAGAAAGAGAACTGAACCAAACTAGCTAGCTGAGGCCCGGCTCCACCCCTGCTGTTGTAATGACTAGAAAAGGATGGTTTACACTCAGCTCATCATTGGATGCACATAAAAGAAGGGTTTCTAAAGTGCTTTAAGGATGGTTGAAATGGTTTCATTTCTGAAGTAGTTGAAACTATCCTTGTGGCCAACACACCCTTTTGACCTAGTGCCAAATTGGTCTGATTTTTCACAAAGTTTCAGTTAGAGAAGGAGAATTAAATGAAACTTTGGAGTGCTCGACGATTCTAAAAATATTACCAAATCTTTCCTAAACTCGAGGGATGAACTTTAGTTGGTGAACATCTTGGAGCTTGAGATCTGCCAACTTGACCCACCGAATCCTAAGTGTTACAAAGGAACCACTGAAGGTCTGAGAAGTTAAATAAAGGAAGGGGTGAAACGGGTGCTTGCCTAACCACAATGTCAATGGACAAACAACCTTTGCCTTCCTAAGTAAGAGGCCTCCGGTTACCTCCAGCCCACCCTGCGGGTGCGTCTTAGTCCATCGAGGGACGGAGGACGCGGCCTCTGTAGTCTTAGCCTCTCCAGCCCTAGAGCCCACCCAGAGTCTCAGGGGCCTCGCGTGGCCTCGCCCTCGGCTAGCAGTAGTAGCAGCAGCAGCAGCAGCAGCAGGAGCAGGAGCTGCGCCAGGGCGGGTGCCAGGACCCAGGAGCTGCCAGGAGGGCGGCTGGGTGGGCCCTGGGTGGGAGCTGTTGTCCCTGCAGCTCGCAGAGGCTAACGTTGCCAAGGCGCTCGGGGCGCGCGTCCCTAGCAGCCGCCCGCCCACGTCAAAGTTTGTTTAATAATCGCCCAGGTATTTATGCCTGCGGCTCCGGGCAGCCGCCCGGGAACCAGGACACCGCAGGGCAGCGGATAAGGCGCGGCGGCTGTGGCCTAGGGCACCTCCCCCCCGGCTTCCCGAACCCTGCCCGGTCCGACCCGAGGGGGAGGATGGAAGAACCAGCCGCGCTCTGAGCCCCTCAGAAAAATAACACCCTTCCGGCCACATCACCCCCGGTCGTGCGGAGGCCACCGCCTCGTCCCCTCCACGTCTCCATCTCCCAAAACAGGGCCGAGTGAAAAAGGGAGCGATGGCAGAAAATCTGAGAAAACTGGTCTCGAGCGAAACTTTACAATCGATGCACGACAAGCTAGAGTCCTGGCTGAGGGACTACAACGTGAGTCGGGGTGGGAGAGCCCCGGGAGGCTTTGATTCCTTTGCAGAACCTTCGGCCCGGGTTTCTTAGGGCTGGCTGGGGGAGGCCGCTTAGCAATGGCCAGGAGGTTGTGATTCCTAACCATGACCCAGTCTCGGACCCGGATCGCGGGAAGGAAGGAAGGGCACCGGTCTGCTGGTGTCCTTTTCTCCCGGCGGCGCCAGGCGGCGCAGGGCTGGCATGGCCTGCGGAGCGCGCTCTGGCGTCCCCTCCCGGAGCGCTCATTCAGCCCAGCGGTAACCAAGGACGCTGGCGGCCCTAGCGACGGGAAAGATCCGCGGTCCGCCAGAGATCTGCCCCAGCCTACCACTCACTTTCCTTTCCATCCCCTCCGCCAGCAATCCACCTCCCTACCCCCAACTCAAATTAGTTTTTTACTACACCCCTTGTCCTGCCTTTCCGCAAGTCCCAGAGGATACTCAGGGGTTGTATCACAATGTATTTTTTTATAAAAATACTCCCAGGAGTTGTTAGCCAGAAGTCAGTGAAATGGACACTTGTCAACGTGGCTGGTTTCGTTTGTGTACTGATCTGCATGGCAGGTAGGGCACAGTTTCCACACCAAGGCAGACGTCCGGAGGCCTGTTGCCAAGGCATTTGTAGGAAGCAAATATTCTGTCGTCGAACCCATAAGCGCTCTTCAAGTCTCATTAAGCCTTACCCCCACTGTGGTTCGCGTTAACCGTCCCCGCACATTAAGTACAACTCAGCGTTGCACTTGGTGGATTTGATCCGTCCGTCTTAAATAGGACAGTCCCACTCGTGTGGCGAGTGCAGCGCTGAGGCAGACAGAGCTGGGCAGTCGTGGACCCGGAATCAGCCCCCACCCCCATCCCACACGAGTTCTAGGTCTGGCTCTAGAAAGAACTAGCTGAACCACCTGGGGTAATTTATTTCACCTCTCTGGGCCTCAGTATCTCATCTGTTACATAGAAGAGACTCAACCAGATGATATGTAGAATTCTTTTTCAGATCTCAATTTTTAAATTTATTTTTATTAAAAAAATTTTTAATGTTTATTCATTTTTGAGACAGAGGGACAAAGCATGAGCAAGGGAGGGGGAGAGAGAGAGGGAAACACAGAATCCAAAGCAGCTCCAGACACTGAGCTGTCAACACAGAGCCGGACGTGGGCCCGAACCCACGAATCTGGAAATCATGACCACAGATGAGGAAGGCCGCTCAACTGACTGAGCCACCCAGACGTCCCAATCTCAATTTTTAAACAATTTAAATTAGTTTGTGTCTGAAGTCCCACCAGGAAATTCAGCTAGATGCTGTGTGAGTCTCTGGGCTATCCCATTCACCCTTTGACCAGGGCTCCTATGGTGGACGGGAGCTCAAAGAACAGCAACAACGTCCCCCTTGCCCCCTTACTAGGGTTCAGTGTTTACCACCTTTACCCACTTCTAAAGAACGAGCTCTGTGACTATTTTCTCCCCATCAAGATTGCAGGAAAATTAAAATTTACTCTTATTCCATCTTACAGCATTTTCTTTCTTTCTTTCTTTTTCTTTTTCTCTTGTTATTACCCTGTGGCTTAAATAAATGTTTATGTTTAACATTAAATAAATGTTAAGTGTTTAACAAAGGTAACACTAGCGTTTGCCTGCGTCAAATTAAATGATTGTTTTAGAAACTGCTCAGAAGTACTGAGAAATGCCAGCGTTTATCACACTTAACTTTCTCAGTAACAGTGGTCCATCCCACTTGTCTGTTGTCACCGAAAGCATTTCAGTTAGAATCTCTCCCCTGTGCCAAGTCCCTCCCTCCACCTTTATAAAGACTGCACTCTTCGAGACCAATGCCTTTCCAAAAAATCTGCGGCCATTTCCCCAGGCGATCATTTCTCTCTGGCTCTCTAGTGTCTCTGTTGCATTTGACTGAGGACACCACCATTCTTCTAAGGCTCTAATAATTTCTCTCCTTGCCTTACCCACTTCCCTCCTCTGGCAGTTCGTCAAGACTTTAGGAATCTTCTCTTGGGCCTCCATTATTGCTTCTCTCTTACACATATGGCCATGAACCTCATGTCTGTGTTTTCAGTTGTGCTATTGTCATCTCAGAATCAAATCAATCTAAAACCTACCTTAGTCTTGCCCATGGCCCGAACAGCGGCCTCTTTCCTGACTTCACGGTCTTCATCATGTCATACCCCACAAACTTTTCACCAGCTTAATTGGTTGGCATCTACTTTGAAATTCTCACAGAACCCTTTTACCACCTCTGTGCATATTTCAGTACGAGAATAATGTCTTCACCTTATCTCCCCCTTCAAGTCTTTGCTTAAATGTCACCTTCTCAGAAGAGACCACCCTCTTTACAATTGCAGTCTCCTAGCCCTGTCCCTGGCACTCGCTGTGTGCCTTCTCTGCTTTATTTCTTCTGTAATAGCTACCTCTAATTTTTACTTGTTCTTTTATGTTATTGTCAATCTTTTCTCCCCCCTCTTCCCACTAAAATGTAAGCTCCAGAGGGCAGAGATTTCTCCCTTTTCTGCTCATTACTGTATTCTCAGCACTTAGAATAATGCTTGGCTCCCAGCAGTTGCTTCGTAAATAATGACTGACTGAATGCCACCACCATTCTCCCAGACACTTGGGTTCTTGGACTCATTTCTCTTCTTGAAACCTCGTATCCAGTGTAGAGTTGAAAGTGATCCCCAGATATCTTTAATTCAGCCTTTATTAAAACTGCGTTGAGGGCAAAAGACATGATTTCCAATTAGGGGCATAATTCAGAGGGTGCAAGTGTTTTTTAACAGTTTTTCCTTGCTTGTGTATCACTAAAGAGAGAGGATAAGAAAATGTCTATATACTACTTTACTAAAATTTAGGTTACATCTAGACTTATTCGGTGTCTTGTCACCTGCAGTGTGGGTTTGGGTCAACTGCTAAGAGCTTTCCTGTAAGGCTGCAAGTTTGTTTTACTAGTTCCAAGGACTTTTGCCTTGAAACCTTAAGGTGAAGAGTATTCATTGTAGCAAAGCTATATTTGTTAAAATGTTGGTGGTAGAGGTTTGTTCACTAAAAGTTTTAAATTATGTTTGCTGTGGAAAGTTGATTTTGCTGACTGTGACCACATTGATTTAGTTCTAATTAACTCAAGCAACATAAAAGGCCATAAATACTAGTCTAGAATTAGGGATGTGATCCAAGTTACCCCTTGGGAAACTGTTATTATTCAGTGAACAAGATGAATGATTTGAGCAGATGAGTTCTAAAACACAATGCAGATCGTTTTATTTTTCTTCAAACTAGCTAGTATTTGGATTAACAGTTGGATCCTGGCTAGGTTTTCTTCCAACTTTCCCTCATCTAATTTCCTTCATATGGATTCCTATCCCTTCTCCCTTAATCTGTCCATCACCGCTATCTTCTCACTCTGTCCTAAGTATATTGCCAGACACAGTAAATTCTTTAAAAATGTAATTTTCTGCCCCAAAGCCTTTGGTTTTTATTTGTTGGCTGTTTTTTTTTTTTTGTAATTGTTTTAATGTTTATTTATTTTTGAGAGAGAGAGCACAAGTGGGTCAAGGGCAGAGAGAGAGGGAGACACAGAACGTCGGGCTTGAACTCACGAACCCTGATATCATGATCTGAGCCTAAGTCGGCAGCTTAACCTACTGAGCTACCCAGGCGCCCCTGTTGACTGGTGTTTAATCTTACAACATCCAGCAATCTTCTGGGGCCTTGGCAAAACCACTGTTTGCTTGATTTTTTTAAAAACTTTATTTATTTAAAATTTATTTATTGAAAAAAAATTTCAAGAAGGAATAGTTTTCAAAACCCCACTAGAGAAACATAATAAAAACAACAGCAAACATTGCCAATTCACTTTCTTTCAGTTATCAAAGAGAAGCTGATTATTGTATTGCTTGGTCTTTAAAACTTGGGTTCCATCGGCCGTTCAAGGACAGCTTGGTGCAAACATGGAACTCTCAGGACTGTTTTTTCCTCCTTTGTGGCTATTGAGAATGTTGGTGAGAGCCATCGATAATCCCTTCTTGTTGAACCAAGACCTGAGCTAGTTATTAAGAGCTTAAGAATTTGGGGCACCTGGGTGGCTCAGTCGGTTAAGCTGCCGACTTCGGCTCGGGTCATGATCTCACGGTCTGTGAGTTCAAGCCCCGCGTCGGGCTCTGTGCTGACAGCTCAGAGCCTGGAGCCTGTTTCAGATTCTGCGTCTCCCTCTCTCTCTGCTCCTCCCCTGTTCATGCTCTGTCTCTCTCTGTCTCAAAAATAAATAAATGTTAAAAAAAAAATTAAAAAAAAAAGACCTTAAGAATTCACTCAACAAATGGTTATTTAGTTTCTGCTATCTGTGAACCTTTGGCCTAGACACTCTGTATTTACAGCTTTGGCGGTGTACTTTTATTGATTAGTTTATTCAACAAAATATTTTTTCAAAGTTTATGATATGTCTATCTGTGCTGGATGCTAGGAATAGAAATGTCAGTTGCAGGGGCGCCTGGGTGGCTCAGTCAGTTAAGCGGCCGACTTCAGCTCAGGTCATGATCTCGCGGTCCATGAGTTCGAGCCCCGCGTTGAGCTCTGTGCTGACAGCTCAGAGCCTGGAGCCCGTTTCGGATTCTGTGTCTCCCTCTCTCTCTGACCCTCCCCCGTTCATGCTCGGTCTCTCTCTGTCTCAAAAATAAATAAACGTTAAAAAAAAAAAAAAAAGAAATGTCAGTTGCATCTTAATGATGAGGTTCCAGTTGGAGCCGAGGATGAGGGGTAGAGGACGCAGCTTGTGCAAAAAACAGGGAGGCATGAAGAAGCCGGCCTATGTAGGGGTCCTGTGAATAGTTCACAGCAAGGAATGGAAGTGAGATGAGGCTGGGGACGTGGGGTGGTTGCGGCCAGAGGGTAGAGGCCTTGGATGGTGTGTTAAGGAGTTTGGACTTTACCCTGGGGGCAATGGAGGGAAACTAAAAGCACCATGCGGTGAAGACACATGTT